TCAAGGGCATTTGCGTACGATAACTCTGCTTCTGATGGCAAGTAAATGCTGCTCGTAACTGATCCGCTTGATCTACGCCCTTCATATGATGGTTATAATTATCAATAGCCCTTGGAATGAAGAGATCCTTAAAGGGTAAGCCCTTAAATACAGGGTCAAGGATACGTTGATTTTCGGAGGAGATTTTAGGGCATCTGCGCGTTCGTTGAATTCGATCTTCTGCACGGTGGAGGCTATGAGCAGTCGTAAGAGCACAAACAGCCTTATTATCTTGCCAAATAAAGGCTAGAGTGTTGTTGTCAATGACTTGTGCTATCGTAGAATCCCAGAGAAGCTCGCTATTATCGTTGAGATAGCGTTGAAGTTGTAAGGGCACACCAGCAGCCTTTTTTCGTGTAGTTCCCATGCAGTAAATACCCATCGCCAGAAGACATTGGGCTACTGGTACATTTAGAAAGAGGTTATCAAGATAGATACAGAAATCCTGTTTTGGCAGCTGCCTAGCAAGGCGTAAAACAAGCGCGTAAGTTGGTGCAAGAAGAGCGCTTTTTTCAGTATTCAAATTTGCTCCTGTGCCCTGTTGCTGTGGCCACTGCGTTTGTTGACTCTTTGTAAACGTTTCAACGCCATCTATTCTTGAATAAAATAGCCAGCTCCAGATATATCCATGGTCGCCAATGCACTATAGCTTGTAACCGTCAGAAATTGGCTTATTCTTGAGCTTAACCGTATGATTTGAACGCCCCTTAAAGGCCACCATTGCTTCGTCAATTGTGATATGAGAAGAGGGTACATAGGCATTTCGACAGGCTGTTCGAATAAGGTCTGCAACGCGTTCAATTCGATAGAACCAAGGGGCGTTTGATTGCCTAGGGGCAGAATTCAAACTGAAATAACGATGAATTTGTTGGAATCGATTTCGGCCCATGAATTGACCAAGTTTGTGAATCCTCTAGTAATCACTGCGTACTGCCAATTGGTACAAGCCAAAATGGATATGTATACCCAGATATACACGTATTTCAGCCGGCGTAGTAGGTACCCAATGGCAGTCTTTGCTGAGAGGATGAGGAACGTTTTGACGATGGATTTTGGCGTACGAATTGGTTTCTTTGGAGATGATTTCTATCACAATTGGGCTAAAGAAGAGCTCAAAAAAGCCTAATTCCGATAGATTAGAGTATTGAGGAGCTCCTGTTCGATTTGGAACGTAATTAGCCTCAAATTGAGGCAGTTCTGTTGGTATCAATATAGGCAGTTCATCTGTACATTCTGGCGCAGGAGCAATCACTGCCAAGGCCTGATCGACATCATTTCGATCGATTGCAGCAGGGTCAATTCTCCGTCGTTTTGGCTGTTTGATAGCTTGTTCGAATCGCGGAGGTGAGTTTGATCTATATCTCAAAGGGATTTGAATAATTCGCTGTGGTCGTAGCATAATTCGTGGTTGAAAATAAAATAACAAAGTCAGCTGCGGAGAGCTGTGCAGATCAAATGCAGCTCAAAAAAGCTTAATTTGGGCATTTTACGCTAATTGACAATTCGGGTACGGAGGGGATAGCTAATTGACAATTCGGGTACGGAGGGGATATTACTCCGTACCTGAAATCCATTTTCTAAGGTCACATAAAATCCTAGACTTGAGCTAGTGTTTATTATAGGCTTTGAGGATGAATTAAGTCATTCTTAGAAGGCGGCGTCGAGAGAGGTGGCTTACCTGACTTGCTCGGGTATCATTGCACGATCTGCTACCGCAGTCGCTGAGAACGAGAGAGCCAGAGCAAACAGTCTTACGAGCTAGTCGAAAACGCACCTTTAGGACAGCCCAGGGCACATAGGAAATACTGAATTGGCACTTGTTTTCTTGCAGCACATTGAATCCGTTCAGCCAGTCAATTTTCCTGCCCATAGCACTCCATGTTCTCTTCCATGTCCATTGTCAGTCAGCGCTCCGTGACTTGAACCCACATGTTGCTAATGGCAAACAAGCCAACGATGTTGTGGATGGTCCAAGACTCGTGCGGATGGGCAAGTTCGAAATCGAAGTTACGGAGAAGCTCGAAGACAGTCTTGTGTATCTCCATCCAGGCCACGTTGCGGCCCACGCAGTGCCACCGGCCGTAGCCAAAGATCATGTCGTTGGTCTTAATCATACGCGCCAACTTCTCTTTGCCGCCGGGAGTGTCATCGCCGATGAGCCACCGCTCAGGCCGAAAGACATCGGCGTCGTCACCGTAGACGGCCCTGTTATTACGGTGCATGCTCCACGCTGAGTATCCGATCAGTGTGCCGCCTGGCAGGAAGTGCTCCTTGCCGTCAACATCGACGACATCACCGCCCTTCGGGACGACTTTGGAGAAGATGTTCACGACGGGTGGATGCACACGCAGGCCTTCCCGAACGACGGCGCCGAGATAGGCAAGACCTTTGACGGCCACGTCGGAGATAATGCCCGGTGCGGCCGGCGCAACTCCCGCTCGGACTACCTCGTCGATTTCGGCCTGCAGTTTAATGTAGACGCGAGGATGCGTCATAAGATAGAGCATGATGACGCGTAGCGACGCAACTGTGGTGTCGGAGCCGGCAAGAATCTGCTCGAATACCTCGTGGAACAGCTCGTCGCCCTTGAGGCCGTGGCGAATAAAGGACGACAACATGTCAGAGCGCTGGTCGGTAGGTTGTAGCATGCGTTCTCGCACGCAGCGGCGCGCGTAGCTGCAGCGCGTGGTTAGCAAGCCCCACCTTCGCAGGAGGCCAAAGGAGCTGGCTTACGCCATCATCTTCCCGAAGCCTCGCTCGTCCTTCTCCGACGGGCTGATGGCCTTGCCCAGGAGGGGCACGTCTCTCAGCCAGCTGATGCCAAGGCCCCACGATGTGTTGCAAATCGTCAGGCCATCTTCCATCGACTTGAGATAGTCGTTGACATCGGCGTCGGCTTTGAGGTCGCCAAACGGCTGGCCAAACCCCACGTCGCTGATGACGTCGAGCGTCAGGTACTGAAGCTTGGCCGCCAGATCAATCGGCTGGGAGACGCTGTGCGAGGCAGCCGGGGCCGCGTACTTAGATCGGAGCAGGCGGACCAGCTCCAGGATTTGCGTATCGATCGAAGCCTCCAGTGTCGGATTCTCCTTGCCTGAGTACTATCTATGGGCATTACATACACTGGCTGGAAAATGGGCCGACATTCTTACCCCAGCAGCCATCTTTTTCCGTCTTGCGTCGTGGCTGTTATTGTCGCAGTCGGTGAAGACGTTGTCCTTGCCGGGCTCGAAGCGGACGCAGTGATAATACCACGACGCGCGTGTGTAAGGCGAGCGGACGGCATTGATGTGGGCCCACAACTCCGGCGACGACGTGATGAGGAGGTTTGGGGCTACTCGGGCAATGGACCCTGGGGTGGGGACGAGTGAGCGACCAAGATACGATCAGCGTGTGGTCTTGCAACATACCATGCTTTTCCGTCACGTCGCCGTACCATCGGTGCGCATTGCCGCTCAGGACGGCGCACGAGTGCCAGAGCCAGGAGACGCCGGTGCCAAAGGGGCCGGGAAACTTGCGCAGACGCCAGAACTGGCTTAGACGAGCGGCCACGGTCCCCAGCAGGACGGCGCCAACCAGCGCCAGACATAAAAGACGACGGTCAAGCGATCCTAAGCTGACGACGATCGAATCGAACTCCATGGCTTCGACGCGGCTGGATTGCGAAGGGAGCATGGATATGAAGAGGCAGAGACCGCCAAGCGAGAGGGTGGTATACGGAGTAGTGTCTTACGGGCATGCCATGGCGGCAATATACTACTTAAATATGGCCTGCTGATACTGCTACTGAGTCCACCAGCCCCATTCAAATGCGGGGGCATTACATGATAGCACCCTCTCTTATCGTGGTGTTGATCTTCTGAGAGGGCCTGTTGGCCAGGTTTCATTCGCGTAACCCCTGCGTTTTGCCTGTTTTTGATTAGTCAATCTCTACTACAATCTCGCAGCCCAATTGCGCTGTACTACATCTGGAGTCGTGCCTCAAAAGTAGTTAGTAGTTGATACACTTGCCAAGATAAGGATACGAATCTGTCTTGGCACTTAGGTACTGTACTTACTATGGTAGTAAAGTTCATGTAGAATCGCTGCCGGTGCGCTGCCTCTTCGGGTTTAGCCTTACCCCATCGGCCAACGCGGCCCTCGCCGCTTAGCCCGGGTATATAGAGCCTGCAGCTCCCCGGACCCCTACATCGCCGCTTCTACACTGTCTTCTACTCCTTCTCCCCCCCCTCTCTTCCCTCGCGGATGGCCTTCCCTTTTCGGCCTGCTGCGCTGCTACTAGTACCTCAGCCCCGTAGCGCTTGGCGCTGACGGCAATTCGAAGTACCAAATCCCCAATCCAGTGTGTCATGAATTTTGATTTTCGGCAAATGCTTCATCGTTGACTGCTCGGGATGGTAAGGTATTCAGTCGTCGATCCGAGCCCTAGCCACCAGCCTTATTCGTTGGACTAGTTTTGCGGGTGGAAGGAAAGTTAGATGAGTCGTCATCGCTTGATTCGGGTAAAATGAAAGGACTCTGATCGGCTACCCAATTGGTCTGATTCATGCTGGGGACGCACTGGTGCTTGAAATTGCTGCAAGCATCGCATATGACTCGGAAGCATGTCTGAGATTGCGGCGGGCGAAGAGGCGTCAGTGACGGGGTAAGGGCTACTTATTGCAATGCTGGTAGGGCAAAGTGGCTCACATCAGAGTAAGTGCCGAATTGGGAACGTTTTCTACACGGTAAAGAGATGCGCCAGATGCGAGGGCAGGTTTGGGGGCTGAAGCCAATACTACTATTCGAAGTACTGGATACTTGGCTGCGATGGAGTCCATCGCTCAGAACTCAGCTAGAACTAATGGACCTCTAATGCAATGTTGGTCCAGTCCAAGTGCATATCCATTACTACCAGTGTCAAACACTGCATTTCAATTTCTATGAGATGATGATTCAGTATTCAAGGACTACTACTCCTTGTGGATTTGAGTGTAATATAACTGACCCAGAATCGTAACGGGACGTCGGGACCAGATGTGCAAAACTTTGCCAATAGCGGCCCTAGAATTCTTTGGCTGATTTACTTTTCCAGGCAAAGCTTCTGAATTTATATCCTACCACTGCAGACGTTATTCAGATATTCTGTTACTCACTTAGAAGTAAAAAGACAAGCTTTGAGGTCGTTTTCCAAAAAGAGTTATCATATTTGATGACGATTTGAGGGCTGATGCAGATCATTGAAGATCGACCATTCTGATTGGATCTAAAACTTTTAAATTGTTGCACTTCTGGTCCTGTTGCGGTTCTGGCTCACTTATTATGAGATTAACGTGCTACGGTGCTAATGCCATAATGGCCCCGAACTTAGTATAAAATCAATGCACCTTTCGATACAAGATTGATTCATTTCAGGCCAATATCAACTCACGTTCAATCATCTCAGGTAGGTATTCAAGCTTTTTCAAAGAGATCGATTAATACCTATTGAGATTCAACATTCAAGATTCAGGGACATCTACTAGATACCAAAAGACCGAAAAATATCAATATTTTCTATCAATTGTGTCAGGAAGATGAACCGTACGTACGGCCCCCCGCACGCGAGTGCGGCAAAAGACTAGAGATTACCGAGGGAATCCCTGTGGAATTCCCACTTAAGGTTCATAACCATCTCATTCATCCTGCACCGCTGGGCATTCCTAACAAATTGACAAACATCTTCACATGACCTAACAATCAAATTGTGAAAAAGACGAAAATCAAAATCGGAAATATAAATGAATAAACTAGAAATAATATCGAACTCAGCAATTCTTACAACGCATTTTCAATATAGAATTTAAATACAACATCAAGCATGACTCAGTGTTGATGTCTATTCAATATGGATTTGAGTAGATAGGGGCCAGGCGGGGCAGTAGTGGTTAGATAGAGGTTTCGTCTGCCAGAGGTGATACGATCCACAGCATCGGTGGCTCAGAATATAGAAGACATAAAACCAAAGAGAGTTTTGCGTAGCTCGAAGAAAACGACCTCTTGGTATGATGAATGAAGAAAGATCCCTTCCCTAAATAGTTTAATGATAGTAACATGAAAACACCCAAAAGCCTGTCTTACCGCTTCTCAAGCCGCAGCCATAAACCTATGCCTCGCGACCTTCTGCCCACGAGGAACCGCAACGGCATTGGCCGCCGACATCTTCCCTCTCAGAAACCTGTCCTGTTCATCGCATCCCCAGCCAATCTCAGCTTCCCTCCATCCCCACACCTCCACCGTCTTCACCTCATGCCTCTCCGCCCACCATCGGCCCTCCAATCCCACCACAGGGCCCCTCCTCGCAATCTCCACCGGATCATACCCGACCACATCCTCCGCGTCTCCAACCTTCCACCTCCCGCCAAAACACACACTCAGCACCGTCGCCAGCGCGGGCACCAGCAACACCACCAGGACCCGCGCATCGTAGCCATACACGGGTGTTCTGGCCTGGTGCTCGAAGCCAATGTCGGCCGCGGCCGGCGCGCGGGAGAACGCCATCAGGGTCGCCATGTCGAAGGTCCCCTCGATGCGGGCGGCGACCAGGTCGGCGGAGGCGTTAGCGGCGGGACCGAGGAGGGAGAATCCCACAAGGGAATCGTAGAAGTTTTGCGTCCCTGTGGCGGTGGCGGCGGCGGAGAAGGTGAAGGGCGAACTGGTGGCTTCGGAGGTGTAGATGCGACGCAATGCGCCCGCGGGGGCGTCCCTATCGGGGGACTTTTGAAAGGAGTCGCGGATCAGGGACGGGGGGTGTTGCGGCCGGATTGGATGATGGTGGCGTTGCCGAATTCTAGAGCGCAGTCGACCATGTTCACATTGGTGGTATTGGCGGACCCGGGGTTGTTGACGTAGGCGCCGAAGATGGTCGACCAGGATCCCGGGCAGCCCTCGGAGGTAAGGTCGCAGTTTGGTGGGTAGCCAGAGGTGAACTCGGCGTAGATGTAAGGGTCACCTGAGCTGAGAGGGAGGCAGATATCGGGATTGATGGCGCTGCAGAAGGTCTGATTACGGATTTCCCTTTGGCTGCTTCTGCCGATCCCGTTGGAGTTGTTGGTGCTGATAGCGTTGCAGGTTGCGCGGAGAGCGGTCACTGTTGCGCGAGCGGTGCAGAGGAGGTCACCAGAGCAGATGTCCGCTGGAGGGGCGCTTTGATTGCTCATTGAAAGGAGCGCAGCCAGAACTGTGGGATTGTCCCGGCATCCTCCGTCGCTGAACTGTATGTTTGAGGCGTCGATCCAGCCTGTCCAGCGATCACCTTGGCTCGTTTGTCGAGAAGAATGCACTGCAGACTCATCATACTGGGAGATGCCTGAGACGATGACAGGATTGATGGCGGCAATTCCTATCAGGAACAAGCCTGCAAACTTGAGAGCCCAAGCATGACCGACGAAGAAGTACCAGAATCTAGCGAGTGGAGAGATGGACCACTGCGCCAGGCAGTAGGTCTCGCCGATGGTTATTTTCTTCGTGGTTGGTCTTGGAGCGAGCTTGAGCCAGACTGAATGCTCGACAGCTCTTGTTGTGAGCGCGGACGTCGCCGCGGTCAGCAATGCAGAAAGCAGGGCCACGACCACTGTGGGTTGGATTAGGCCAGGTCGTGGATAGAGGAGCGAATCAAGCTGAAAGACAGCGGGAGAGAGGAAGAGAAGGATAAGAAGCGCGTAACAGACAAGGCAGAGCACAATAAGAAACAGGTTGATGACGATATTGATAGCATAAGACCTTCGATCAAGAAAAATCTGGAATGCGCCCATGCTGGACTTCAAGCAGGTTGACAGTGAACAGGACCAAGCAGCACAAGCGAAGATAGTCAAGCAGGAAAGCCTTAATCTTCTTAATCACGCAGCCATGAGCATGTCAGAAGGTGCCAAGGTAGCAGAGCCCCGTCTACCTTCGTTGTGGCCTGGTATAACTTAAAGCATGCTCAAAAAAGAAAAGAAGATAGCCCAATCCGGCAAGCTCAGTAGACTTGATGCACCCACCTGCACGTCCGCAAAGAATCTGATTCGTGCTAAGGATAGAGCTGAAGGTCCAGAGCATGCAGAGTGTGCAGCAGTACATGGTAATATGCAGCTCGATATTGCTGTTGGCTGCCCTAGTAGAGAGGCAGTACTGTACGGAGGTGTGCACCCATAGGTCCTGACTTCCTGGGCAATCACAGTTTAGTTACAAGGGCTTCAGGAGTTTTGGTTACAGGGACAGCTTAAGAAGATTGTGAGGTTGACTTTTAAAGCTTCGGCCTTAAGAAGTCTAGCAGTGGCCCAAGATTGCCCCTGTAAGTGGGGTCTTCGGGTCCAACGGACTTCACCCATTGGGCCGCGGCTACTCAGTGCCGCCAAAAAGTGCGTCATTTTCTAGTCAGGTTTAGCTTCACGCTAGATTAATGATAATGGCCATCCTTTCTTGGAAAGGAACTTCATCCTGATGCTAGAACCATTATCAACAGGTAGCAGAAACAGGAAGAATAATCAATGAAGGTCAGTGGACACTATAGGCAGGGGTTCGTCTTTCAGGGCTGGGGGCTTCCCTTTTTGGGGGAGACGTGGTTTCTCCTAAATATAGAAGTGACAGAAAGAAAAGCATGGACCACACAGAGTATGACTAGAACTAACTAGGGTGCAGAGGGTATCTAGAAGCCGCAGCAAAGACCGCCGAGACAGCATTTTATGTCATGCGCCTGCCGTGCGCCTGCCGTGCGCCGAATAGAGGCCTTATAAGCATCTCAGCACATACTACGTCTACAGGCCTAATTTTTGTACCCTCCCCTGCTAAAAACATTAGTATCCGTACGAATCGTACTATGTGGAATTGAGTATAGGTGCCCACAAAATGGCCCGAATAAGACTAGTTTCTAAAATTAAGTTTCTACATTCTATTGGCATCTGTAACTTAACCAACCACTATTCTAGGATAAATTAGCCCTTAAATCAGATAGCTAGGGATCAAGGGTCAAGGCGTCAGAAAGGAGGAGGAGTCAAATGACATAATGTGCAAGAGTACTCCGTACACCTCTTGGCACGTATATCCTTAAGCGTATTTCAACTACTTTTGGGGCACGACTCCGCACGACACAGCATTTTGTACTCATATCTGCACTCGCTGCGCCTCTTATTTAAATTCTACAACTAGCTATCTCAATTCATTCCCCATAGCCACGTTCAAAACCTTTGTCACACATGAGTGCACAACTAAACTCTTCATGGAGTTTTTAGTTTGTTGAAGAGCAACAAGGCTGGGCCGAATAAGATAGGCCAGAGATGCAGGTACTCAAAGTCCTGTGATCTTACCCATGCAATCATGGAATTTCGCGGTGATTCACGGATTCTATGGACTCTTGAGAAGACCAAGATGCTTGTGCAAAGTACACAACACGCTTGTTCGGTAATTCGAATTCAACAAGCGGTCCGAGCCAGAATGTATTATCAAGCTTCGACGTGAGCGCCATCCCTGGCACTGACTCTAGCTCATCAAGTTGATCGTACTCATCATTTGGAGTTGCCATCGCAATCACAGTTTTCTAGCCCAAATCTGAGCTTAGCGGAGCCATACATTACAGTCATCAGTTTTTCACAGCTGAAAGTTGTCAACCAACGAGTATTCCATTTGAGCCTTTCCTGGAGAGCCATAGCCAGCCATTTTTAATAAAAGAGCAAGCATAGAGAGCACTGAAGATCCCCTTCAGCTATGTCACCGTCTCATACCACCGACAAGGACGACAATGCGTCACCCACCGGGGTGAATGAGGTCTCTTCGTCCTAGAATACATTTTCGGCGTCACCAGTATATGAAGGCTCAGACTTAGAGCTTAAAAAAGAAGAACGTCAGCAAGCTACCCAAGACGATGAGACAGTCACGTATCCAAGTGGTTTGAAGCTCTTTCTGCTAGCGTCAGTTTCCCCATCCATCTTCGCCATAAAACTTCTTGTAGGGATGAACAGAATACTGAACCTTCGATAGACGCCATACCGGAGATCACGAATCAGTTTAACATTCTTGACGATATCGGCTGGTACGGCAGTGGTATGTTGGGATGGTTTAAAGTTGATGCCCTTGTTAGGAGTTATCGCTGACCGTTCATCTCGCATATCTGCTCACAATAGCCGTCTTCCAGCTAATCTTCGGCAAATTCTACACCTTTTTCTCCATCAAATGGGTGTTCCTCATTGCCATTGCCATCTTCGAAGTGGTATCTCTTATTTTTGGCGTGGCTCCGAACAGTGAAGCTCTTGTAACGTTTCCGTTATCAGCAGATCCGAGCAAGGGCTGTTCCGAGCATGGGTTCTTGGATGCATTTACCCCAAAATGGGGATAAATGTATATCATTTCTCGGGGATACTCGCTAAAGCTCGGAGGCCAGGAGCCGCGCCCAGGCACGATTCCGCTTGTCGCCCCGCTTAGCGCCCGGCCCCTAGCCCCAGCTTGATGCTCGTGGCATTGCTTCGTGGATCCTTGATAATTAAGAGGAGTATGGGTGTGTATATCGTGGTTTATCGAGGAGGGGGCAACGGAGAACCTTTGGATAGGGGACAGGTTCAGGGAGCGATAGTCGCGTAGGGCAGCATACTTGTCAATCGCTCTACTCGCACTCTTGCTCAACCTTTGCCCGAGTGCTGCTCCGGAGCCTTAGTCTCCATGCAGCCCGTACTCGAACCTTGTCCCGTCTTCGGACCCTCATTTTCATCGGCCGACTCTACCTTGCCTACATTTGCTTTCTCTTATAAGATTTGTCAACTAGTTAGCGGTGGTCCAGCTTAGAATCCGACCCAAATGTCCTCCAGCAGGACCGACCATGAGAAACTCATCAAGGTTGTAATTTATCATGATGCATATCTTCCTCGTGCACGTTCGTAGCCCGTTTTCAAGTTCTCATCTGTCTTGCAACATGGCGCCTTTCGCTGCTGTTGAGAAGTTGCGGCATCGTGCACAAATTGTTAAGATGATAGGGTATAATGATTGACTCGCCTGAGACGATCGCATACGTACCGATTTCGGTGATAGCTATAGGTGCGAAAGCGAGCAGATAAGTAGTAGAGACATGGCAAAACAACTATGTGCATTTTCATGAGACCTGAGTTTCGTAGTATATCTTCTACAGGCTGTAGGTGGGAATGCCGTATAATGCGCCCCTTTTATGAAGGGGAAGACGATGGTGTCGTTGACGATGGTGGTAGTGGCTCGGGGGATGATGAGGGCGAGGGTAGGTTGGAGATTGGCATCTGAACAGGAGAGGAAGTGTAGGGATCGGGAGAGGTAACGATGGTAGGTAAACTCCGGCCTCTGGGTGTGATGACAATAGGGGAGATAGAGGAAGCGGAAGACTTGTTCCGCGTAGGATTGAAATGGACTGGAGACGGCACCTCTAGCGTGGCCTGCCGCGGCTGAAGCATACCTCCGTTTAAACCAGCAGACGGAGATGAAGCCGGGTCCTGTCGCTCGAAAGAAGAGTGTTCGGCCGACAACGTGCTGACAGGCAGTCTTTCAGGCCTGGTGGGCGACAGAAACGGTGATGCTGCTCTGGGCGTCGACACGCTGCCTTCGAAATCAAGACCAGAGGCAGCCCTACTATGGAAGCTACCCGCTCTCGAACGCAGTTCACGAAGCGCCGGCGTGATATTCCACTGCTCCCTGATCTGAGACAACTCCCTGTTTCGTTGTTCCTCCCCTGGGATCTCGGGGAAGTCCAGAGCTGGACCGCGCTTGAACTCGGAATCATCGTACCAGTCGTGGGCTGGGGTGCCAAGGTAGCTGCCGATGGCGGTTAATGTCCTAGTTATTTTACGTCGCTTGCCCATATCGGTTGTCCAGGATCGTTTGGCTTGGTGGACTGGTCCTGGCGTGGTCCCACTAGCCGGAGCTGTCGACGCGTTTGAAGTGCTAGAGCGCACGTCAGTAGCATCTGGGGTAGCGATCGGGGGCGGTGACCCTGTAAATGGGCCAATGCCGAGTTCCTGCATAGCTGGCAGCCCTGTCGGATCCTGCGGCGAACCCCGGATGACGCCCCCATCCATGCTTCGAGCGTCCACTCCACGTTGGACGGGCAAGTTCGGATGCCGTTCGCCGCCATGGTGGTGATGCGAGCAATTACAATGATGCATGGAAGTATTTGATTTCGCTTCGTGCTTGACAGCTGCCATATCTGCAGCCAGGAGAAGATAAAGTGATCCCAGGGCAGCGAGCAGAGTGCCAACAAGGGGCCCCCATTGACCTACCAACAGCACCAAATCGGTTCAGCAATTTGTAACGAAGGCAAGAAGGGCGATCACCTACCAATACTGGCTATTGGCTCAGTCTGATACAGCACCTGAGAGCTGAAGAAGTTCCGCTCGCCGGTGATCAGGATAGCGAGTACTGCACCATATAACACAGGAATCTCGACGACACTCAGGAGATGCCGGATGACCTTGTTGACCCTCTTCATATTCCCGATGGTGGCGCCGTTGGTTCCCTCGATCACCTCGTCATTCCGCTCATCCGCATGTCCACCACCAATGCGGTTCTTTTTCCAGTTGATCTCGAGGATCTTGTCCCACATAGATATGAGCGAGAGGATGGCGGGGATGCAGCATGCAGCTGCGAGGAGGGTGCCGGTGCCGAAGGTGAGCTTATCCGGTGCGGGAATGACATATATGCTGTTCACCGAGCCGCCTCGCAGAGGAGAGGGGGGACCTTGCTCAAGAGAGCAGGTGAGACCACAGCTGGGCTTGTCGCCATAAGGGAACCCGGCTGCATTGGGAGGTATCGGTTGCCCAGAGTCGTCATGCGTGCAATCAGACGTTGTGATCCGGTAGAATTCGACAGTCAAGCTCAGCAGCCCTTTGGGGAAAGGTTTCAATCAGAAGGAGAGTCTTGAAAGGAGGGCCAAAAGTACCACTTACCAGCAAGAATAACGCCGGTCCACAAGAAGATGGCGTTCCGACCGGGGTCGTAGAAGTACGTCCGAGATCGTCTGACCGTTACCGGGGCGGCCAAGATGCCTATCGTGCATAGTTGGAAGGCTCCGTAGATATCCATATCGACAGCACCTAGTGTACGGAGCTGTCAGCGGTGGGGGCACATATGCGGCGTGAAAGACTCACCATTGACATGTACTGCCGCGAGGACGATGCCATGGATGGCAGCGACGGCGGGAAAGAGCAACGCTGCTGCCAGGCAAGCGTTCCTGAGCCATTCTTCTTTTCGAGCCAATACACAGGCTAACACGAGAACATAGTACCTGGAAAGAACAGAGGTGAAGTGTCAATTGCTCTGCGCCAAGGATATGTGCTTGTGGGGGCTTGAGGCTGCCTACAAAACCCTGGAGCCGGTTCCATATTGGCCTGACACTGGCCAGGCGCATACGACTTGCAAAGCATTACTGGTCGCATTCGCGGCCGGACTGACATCGCTGCGACCAGCGAGGGTATTTAGCAGCGAGGAGGTTGAAGTAAGGGCTGGCATAACCTCTGGTCCGTCCTAAGGGAAAATAGCATTGGAACAAAAGCGAAAGCGAATAGTAAAGAGATCTGACGCACGTGGGTCAGGTAGCTCAATAAATCCGTTCGACGGTTCAGAGTAAAGGGAGTCATCGTCTGGGCTAACTATATGATAGAGATGCGCAAGGCTGTCTGAAACCTCTCGGGCGCCTCATTGTGCGTGGCAGGGCTGCGTGATGCGGGTGGCTGTGTTGCGCCCTAACTGTAGGAAGCTTGGAACTATTGGTTGCGACGGGACCGGAGGACCGGAGCTAGGGGTACATACGTAGTAGTTAGTAAAATTTGGAGAGTTCTCGCTCACCTCCACACCGCCTTCCCCTGCCTAACATCAACGTGACTAATGGACTAACTGACTTTTGCAACACACCCCCATTGGCAACAGTTTCGGGACCGATGTCTCCCGTCACTACCAAAATTGCCAAGCAACACACACTATTTCAGCTTCAAGAAGTTGTTGTCATTCTATAAATGTTTATCGAAACCAACACAGAGATGGGTCGGATGACCAGAACCAAGCAAGATTTGTTTATATCATGTGTGTTTGAGCTACTCTACTTAATTCTATCTCCAACAGTGCCAGCAACGTTTGGGCTTGCTCCGAGACGCAAAACGCCAAGCATTTGCGTTGCAACTGGGGGTCTGTTGCACAAGTGGGTTAGCCAGGTTAGCCAGGTTAGCCCCAGTGTGAATGGCCATTAACCACAAACGGTGTGAATCTAGGGCTACGCCTCAACAGAGACTAGACTTTGCTGCGGATCAGAGTAACGTCGATCAATTGATTGAAGAGTCGGTTACCACCCTACCAAGCATCAGCTGAAATCAGCACTGGCGAGAAGCCATTGAAAAGCTGGATAGTTGGATATTGGATAATTGGATCACCTTTGAGCTCCTCATCCTCAACTTCGCTCTACCCGTTTCACGCCGATGCGGTGATGCCGGCTCGACTACCTGAAACTGTCTGTTACTAAAGAGCTGTTAAGATGGCAGAAAACCTGGTAGATACCAGTCGGATCAAAGAATGGCGATCAATCGTCACTTTCGTCGTTTTCATCCTCACCAGTAAGCGCAAGATATTCCTACACAGATCGTTCTCAACGCTCTACGGGATTAACGCTGTTGCTATCGCATAGATATCAATGTACTTTTTCCCTTTCATATTCCCGTTTACGTTCCTCGACTGCTTTCGGAGACTGTCTCAAGAAGTCTTCGTGCTTTGCGAATAATATCGCCAAAGTCGAACCGCTCTCAGCATGGCTCCAAACATGATCGAAACGGCAAATTTGGGTCTTTTGCTCGATTTGACTTTCCCATGAATTTTGTGACGGCGCCCTTGATCGCAGATCTCTTCCTGCTCGCCATATCGGCCATTGGTAGAGAGGAAGTTCACGCTGGTACAATCGGGGCGGACAACATCTCCCCACTCGACATCATGCTCTTCTTTCTCACGCTGGCCTACATCGCCATATCTATCGACGCTTCTGGTCTAATCAGGTACTTAGCATTCAAGGTGCTTCAATGGGGAGGTGAGGTGGGCCATAGACTCTTCTTTTACCTCTATGCCTTCTTCTTCGGCCTGGGTAGCTTCATCGGTAATGACCCTATTATCCTGTCCGGCACAGCCTTCCTCGCCTACATGACCCGGGTGTCGAGCAACATTGTCCACCCCCGAGCGTGGATCTACACCCAGTTCGCCGTGGCCAATATTGCCTCGGCCATTCTCGTCTCCTCCAACCCGACCAACCTCGTGCTCGCTGGTGCTTTCGAGATCAAATTCATCCACTACACGGCGAATATGATCGTCCCGGTCATTGTCACAGCCATCGTTCTGTTCCCTTTCTTGCTATATATCGTCTTCGCTGACGAGTCCCTCATCCCCTTCTCGATTAAGATGCATGAACTTCCCGAGGAAATGAAACGAAAGAAGCCCGTAAACCCTAATATCCCACACGCTAGAGGAAATGCTGAGGAAGAAGAAACTGGTCTCGCAAATGACGAAAAAGGCAAGCTTCTCTCGCTCGAAGAGGTCATGAACCCTTTCTTGGACAAGGGAGGCGCAGCCTTCGGAGCCGTCATCATGGCCGCGACACTCATCACCCTTCTGGCGCTCAACGCTGCTAGCGCGAGTAGCGGCGAGCATCAAGTCTTCTGGGTGACCTTGCCAGCCGCGTTTATCATGTTCTGCTGGGATGTTGCGTTCGGATGGTACCATCGGCATGAAACGCGCGAAATCGCTTGCAAGGGTAGAAAGGAGGTTGAAAATGCGCGAGCCGAACGAGCGATTAGAGAGGAAGAAGAAGCCAACCGACTAGCTTTACAGCAAGACGGTTGTGATGCTCTGGCAGCGCACGAATATGCTCTGACGCAGATGCATTCGCCAGAAGCTCAACAACAAGGTCAGAATGGTGCTGTTGGTAGCAATAATAACATCGCAAATGCAAACGACCAGATACCACAAATATTCGATGGTACCAGTACATTTCCACCGAATGTAGGTTGCCTGCCGCCTTCTGCTCCTGCCCTTCTCGTATCCAAGAACGGCGAAGATACATCGAGCGGAGAGATGGACGAAGAGAAGCCAGGAACGGACGAGGCTAAGCGAGAGGTTGACCACAGAAAGCGAATCTTGCACGAAATAGAGCTTCGACATGCGCGAGGGCGGCCAACGCTCGTCTCACTCGTCGCGGATGCGTACACGTGGTCGCAGGAGACATTTCCTACTGTCACGGCCGTGCTGGCTCACCTGCCGTTTGCGCTCGTGCCTTTTGCCTTCGCCATGTTCGTACTCGTACAAGCTTTGGTCACCAAGGGCTGGGTCCAGGTGTTCGCTTTCGGGTGGGACCATTGGGTGGAGAAGACAGGGACTGTTGGTAGCATTGGAGGCATGGGTTTCCTCTCCGTGATCCTCTGCAACGTGAGTTACTGCGTTTGGACAATCATTGAAACGTGATTAGCTAATGTATCATATCCATGGTTAGTTCGCAGGCACGAATATTGGCACCACTATCCTTCTATCCCGTGTTATACAAGCATGGCAACTAATCCACATCGTTAACGGGACCCCTATCTCGGATCGGACATTCTGGGCAACAGTGTACAGCATGGCGCTCGGGGTAAACTACGGTGCATTCAGCACGGCCTTCAGCGCGTCCCTGGCTGGTCTCTTATGGAGGGACATTCTCGCCCGAAAACACATTCACGTCCGGGGTCTCGATTTTGCGCGCGTGAATCTTCCTATCATTGCCATAGCCATGACAGTCGGCTGTGCCGTCCTTGCTGGCGAGGTGTACATTATCAGGGACACATCTCCTTACAATTCATAATGACGATCGCGTCATTTGAGGAGCGGCTAGAGTTTGGTTTAAACTGAGCATGAGACGGCAAAGGGTATCTACTAACCCGAAATCACCGCATTCATACCATCTACCCCGTTTCACATGTTTCATGAACACCATTATGATACGTTCCAAACTATCTTCACACTACTCTTCTGCCATCATCACCCAGAGAGGATGGTAGACCTCGACGTTGACCGGATCAAAGTTCCAGCCAAGGCAGTGCAGCAGCAAAATACAGGTAAAAGCGCAACAAGAAACACAACCAAAGTCATCAGCGGAGCTACCATTAGCGTGCACAGACCTATATCCCACAAGATCTCCATGCCCAGACCAGCATCGACTACCTGACCACGGACTGCTTCGCCGGTGATTTCCTGCGCAGCTGCCTTCAACGCAGTCGATTGTAAGTTGCCGACAGCAAGCCAAGGACGGCAACTGTGACGGCCATAACCGCATCGAAGATGGCGAGAATGAGGGAGAATTTTCTTTGTGGCGGCATCAAAATGAAGATGATGATGGCAATAGCCCAGAGAATAGAAGTGATGAGCAGGCAGTAGCTGTGGTGACAAGACACTTCCCAGAGCATGACTCGCTTCTCAGGTGGCAGCCTTAGCTGATGTCAGGACCCGTGCCCAATTGTCTCGAACGGTGGTTGAGTCGGCGTCCTCAAGCACGGCGCCCAGAAGGGATGGAACTTGTAGAAAGAGGCGCTCGCATGTGGTTGTGGTGTTAACTTTCGTTCCGACAGCCCACTGACGATATAACCCAGAAATGCCGAACAGATACCTGCCCGGAAGTCTGTCTATACCAACATCTGCATCTTCCTTCGAGAGCTCGTGCTGCTGCATGCCAATATTGAATGCAGGGGTCCTCGTTTCCATGCATTATTGTTGAGTTTCTCGCAACACCTTGCCTCGATCCCCCTTGTTACAAACTCGCCGGACGCACCGACATGGTATGCAAGCTACTCATAGCAGTTGAGGAACAGCCAAGCGAGACAGCAGGAGACATGCCCAGAGCGAGAAAGGCTGAACGCGAGGAACCATATAAGTTCGAATATGCTTGGCTTCTTGGGTACTCCTCCGAATTTTGACGAAGACGTGCTAGGTCCATCCACTCCACCACATTTCGTGACAAGTTATGTGATGATAGATAGCACACGGAAACCGTCTCTAGTTATCAAGAGTTAGTCGTAACAATAACAACCAGTTCAAAAGCATTCATCAGCACCCTTGGATTGATAGTCACCCAATTTCCTCTTCTCCAGAAAAGCCAGATATCACTTCTCTATCACTCTCAGGGTTGCTTAACTCACACGATACCAAAGGCCCATGACTGATAGTCAGCGCTGAAGGCTTTGCGTAAGGATTAAGCAGATAAGAGATTGGTACTTGCTGCCGCACTCCCACTGAGCATCAACCAGACCATTCTATCGCAAACCTTGGAACAAGACACACCCATGTCAGCAACCAAGACCAATAGCGAGCAGTTGTAACCGAGTCTGAGGGCCAAAGGCAGGTCCAAGCGCGACCGGAACTGGGTCTTGCCAACTCCTCAATCACCTGCTCAGCCTCAGCTGAGGTTAAAGCAGCGCCCGCTCAGGAAAGAAGCCGTCACTGGAATCTGGGGGGAAAATCTCGTGTCCCACTGTTGGGGTAATCTCTTGTAGGTACTCAGTACCTTGATGACTGGGTTGGTGGCCCGTCTGGCGAATAATGATATTAGGTTCAGAACGCTCTCTATACACCTACGCAATGATGTGGTTGTGACTCTTGGGCGCCTTGGATCGCGTTCGTGCAAGGCTGTGAGATGGAAGATTCAGAGTGGATGAGACCAGACCAGCTCCTATGCTCGCTTACATTCTACGCTGCAACGGTACTAGAATACCATGGCAGCCTTGTGCAGGGGCAGAGGTGCCGGGGCGTCGTGGAATTATGTAGGATGATCAATCAGAGGGATGGATGGGCTGATGGCTGGATGGCTTGAGAATCGTTCGCAACATGAATCAGCAGCTTCCGTTCTTGCGAGGTGGGTACTGCACCTATGTCAGCAATCACCATATTGGATACCGTGTATTGAGTAGTAAATTCGAGCTAAGTAATAGACAGGAGGTTGGAAAAAATCACGGCTTTCAAACACAAAGAGGAAAACTCTTCTTTCCATGCATAGAGGTTAGAAATGAAGGGTTGCACGAACATGGATTGCCAGATTAGGCAAGTACTCAGCTGGCTCAGTGGCCAATTTTTGAGTTCCAGCTAACAACCCAGTCCCGCGCCCGTGCAGCGATGCGGAATGGGTCAAGGAGATATTGGACAAGACGCGTTCCCAGCTTTCTCAGGCAGGTTTTAATAACGGGTACCGGGCATGGTGGAGTAAATAGCTGGAGCTCTGGACGCAAGCGTGGGGCCATAACCAACGGCCTGGCGAAAAAGTCTACCAACTCAATACGGCGGCAATATGACGCGGATTTTCTCGATGATAAGGAATTCGCAGTGGGGTCGGCCAATAGCATTGTCCAATATAGTGTTCCAGTCTTGTCGCTGGTTCATTACACGCATAGCCGAGGTATATTCCCAGTAGTCCGGGTACCAGCCAGAATCAGACCAATCAATTATGCCTGAGATATGTCCATCGTGGACCATGATGTTGGAATAGTGCAAATCATTGTGAGTGAAAACTATTTGATGCTTGTGGGCGGCAAGCATGGCATCCAAGCGATCGCATATGAGTACCTCTCGCTTGTAACACTTCCAATAGGTCTTGCGGAGCTCAATGTTAAACTCCTCTTCGCTATCAAATGGGCCTGCCAGGTAGGATGTTAGCTGGGAGATACCAAAGGAGCACAGAATGATATTACCGCAATTGTCAGCCTGCAGCCGCAACATGGAATCCGTCACAGGGCCCCGATCGAGTGAGCCGATATATTCCCCTCCAGGTATTCCCCGCAGTTGACGGATATAATCTTTGAGCTCATTTTGAACATTCGCTATGGTGGCTTCATCCCACTCGTCCCAAGATTTCTCAATCGTGGCCCCCGGCACAAAGTCCATAAAGATATAGGTGATTTCCGTGTACTCCCTTTTCCCAGAGTACCCTTCAGGATATTTTCTCGCATCAGCCAGATGTGAGTAGACGGCATGGACTTTTGGAACAGGAATGGTTGTATTCTGTTCGATGAACAACATGTTCTTAGCCTCACTGAACTTGATCCAGGCACCACATTTGACCATGATGGTCGGGGATATCTTGGAGATTTCTCTGCTCAAGTATCTCGGGCCCTTCTCAATCTCGTCGGGCTCCAGAATCTGGAAGCCTGGCCGTAGGTAGTGAATAGTCAGTTTCGGCTTGCCTGCTGCGCTGTCGATGTTTGGATCCATTTTCGAAGCCTTGGTTACAATTGGGAAGGGAGAGTAGAGAGGAAGCGTTGTCTTTTATGTTCGAATCTCTTCCCGCAAGCGTAAGTGAGGAGTGACAAAGAGCTATGAGGAATGTAGCCAAGCCAATCAACAGACGACGTCAACCAATTACCCCCTTGCAGACAGACTCCCCTCAAATTGACCAACAAGCAATGAGAAACCAATCCGTCGCAAGCGGAAGAACAAAGAATGCGCCTCTTTTGGGCAGTCTGGGATGCTTTCACAGTATTGCCACCGGCGGCGCTAAAGTTATTGAGAAATGCTCTACGGACACCATTATCAGGTCTTTTCCAGGGGCTCAGTTTGCTCGCGATAAACACTAGTCGCTCTTGAAGATCGTTAGGAAACGTGTGATTTATCTTCGTCTTGATACCACCATGAGGCGGAATCATGTTGTTTCTTCAGCATCAGCAACAGCTTCGTAAAGTTAACGGCACCGGAAGCGGCTCCGCCGTTTCCGACATTGGTCTGCTATTCACGTCAGTCATTATCATAGGCATTGTTCCGCCATAGTCTGACTCACTTTGGCTGAGCCAACATACAGGGCCTGTTCACTATTCCCCTTCTGACGAGCATTATCAGGCGCAAACTTTCCAGAACTGACCGCATCTCTGCACCATCACCTCCTGTGTCCCGGTTCAAGAGTCTTACTGTGGCCTTCGAAAAGGCCCTGGTGGCTTCATGGGTCTCTTCGAGTGTTAACCCGGGACACGAAACCGACCAATCGCTTAGCAGGCCCTTTGAAGGAGGCCATATTGTGCGGCCAACTTGCACTGCACAGAGTCCTGGTCTAAATGCAACGAGTACATTCTGCACAGCGGCAGGGGCTAGATTAGAGAATGTTGTAGAGGAGCAAACAGCGGCGGTTGTCAGGGCGCCAGTGCACACAGTCCGATGATATAGGAGCTGGCAGCTTTTGGATAGGACCGATCTTGACTATGCTCACTAGGTGTCGTGAGCAAGATGTTTGATGGCACGAGCCTTGCTCAACATGTCTTTCCAGGTCTTACCTGATAAATGAAGCCAGTTAGTAGGCACAGCTGAGCGCTTGCTCAAGCGACGGATGCAAAGGGCCAGCGAGATTCAGCGCTACTATTTCGGGGAAACTCGAAAATGGCTCGAATTCGTAAGCATTATAGGCACGAACTGAATATGTGTGTTTACAATTGGGTTTTGGATTTCCTGAATCACAAATTGTATGGTGATCTGTACCGGCTGGCCGTGCATTGCATGACCAGTCTTTGCTCCGTTCAACCATGTCAAGCAACGAAATCATCCAGAATCTGAAGAAGACAGTACTGCCCGTTCCAAAAGTGTTGCAAT